TGTCACAGTCAGATATCATTGTTAAAATAAGCAACTCTGAAAGTTCTGACTGGGCTTCTCCAGTTACTCAAGCCACTTTATACCATGAAGTTTGATGGCACTGAACATTGAACACTGTGCTCGAATCCTCAAATGTACGAGCAATTTTAACGTTTGAAAAAAATCTGCACGAAAATCTGTTGTGAAAACAAATCTTAACTGATATTACATTTTGTCATTACAATACTAAGGGGTGTACCCTAATTAGAATTTTCAAAAAACCGATTTTTTTAATTGCATTTTTCGAAAGTATATATGTTTAAAAGTATCATACTAAAATTTTATAAACATCCGAGCAGTCTAAGTGTACTTTTGAGCGACGTTTACTTAGCTACCTGAGCGCGCTAGTATACGCACCGCTCGGAGCGGTACTACCTACCTGCCTTTGTATACATGAGGAGCTGCTACCTTTTGTAAATATACTATCCGTACTACATTTTGGATGAAAATGAGCGCTACGAAGAAACTGAAGGCATAATGTATGGTGCAGGCATCGCTAATCAGCGTAAAGTACGTACAGACGTAAGATTTGTTCACGATTTTTCGTTAAAGAAACGAAACGCGTTTTTCTCGAAATGACGTTTTTGGACGGCTTGTTGATAAAATCTCCGAAACTATTGAACCGGTTCTTACCAAAATTTTACCACATGTTCTTTATGACTATAGCTATAGCGCATATCATACGAATTTTGAAATTTTTAGTGTAACTATTTTTTTTTCAAAAAACGATGAAAAAAAACGTGCTTTTTCGTAGTTTTCGGAAAAATAGCTGCCATTTTGTCATTTTTAACCAAATCAAAAATCGTATGATATGCGCTATAGCCATTTACCTACTGAATCTAAAACCATTTTTTTTTCAGATCATCCATTCCAGAGATTTTATCAACAACGCACATCCATCTTTTTTTCTGGACCTGTCTTCTTCCCCATTTTTCTGTACGAAAACTGAGTAAAATGAATATAAAAAATTTTTTTTGTGTACTTTAAGAGTGTATTTTTTAGGCCTAACACTTTTTATATCCATATTTATAATTTATACCGGTCAAAAAAGTTCGTGAAAATAGCCTTTTTTTGCCCGTCTAATTAGGGTAGACCCCTTAATTAATTGGTTCAGTAACCTAACTATTGAAATATTTCAATAACCTTATTGCTATGCGAACTGTCAGTTTGCATTTATGGGAATCGGTCACAGTCACATATCATTTTTTTAAGAGGCCACACTGCCGTGTCGGCTACTTGCGGCCAACTTCTGCTGGTGCGTTTCTACTGACTAACCATGTATATTTGACCATGCCAAGTGGGAATAATATTAAAAGCAACTATAACAACCTAGAGGCTAGAACGATTCTCAAAAATATTTGTGTTACTGTTTTGCGAATTTTATTAGTAGACCTATAATGTGTATCAATAAAAAATTGTATAGATGTTTTTATTTATTTTCAAATTTATTATAAGAAATTTTCTAAGTCTTTTCCTGCGAAATAACGGGAAATGACGACCTGTTAACGGTAAAGTATCAACTTCTTTGTCAATGGAGATACATTTAGCAGATCGACATTTCCTTGATTATTAATTGTTGTTAGTTGGTCAAACAATAGCAACATTTTTATTTCAAATTTTGTGGAGTGCCGTTAAACAACCAAATAAGGATTCGCGTGACATGATGAGCAATGGCTCCTAACTGCCGTTATTTCGCAGGAAAAGAAGAAACTTAAATTCCTGTAATGATAAATAATAGAAACCATTTACATTTCTCTCCTTCCAGTTATGCTAACTTTAATAAACGTAATGATATATAATGTTCAATATTCTAAGTTAATAGTGTATAATTATATTGTGTTTGAAAAAAATAAGTTGCAGTTTCGTTCCTTCTTTAAAGTCTTTAAAATTGGAAGTAACGATGTAATGAGCATTTGCATGTCACTTATATTCAATTTATAAAAAACATATAACAAATTATTTGCAAACAGAATATTATCATTTACAAAATAGAAATGCTCAATGATGGACAATATGGTTTCAGAGAAATATGTTCTTTTATAAAAAAAAAAAGGTTGCATTTTACTTAAAAAATATGTATATGCTGACATAATGGCCGCGTTTCCACCATGCAGGATTTAGAAAGGATTAACTTATCATGTGCAATACTTGAGCAGAATACATGAACATGATCAAGAGACTCGGTAGAGTCTCGCGCCAAGTACAGACTACCGGCTGTAGAAGGCACAGCTCACAGAGACTCTTTACCCAAGTCAAATCTTATACCTGTGTTTGGAACGATATGTCTTATAAACCGCTATATGTGAGCAAAACTTATTGATACATTTACTATAGGAACTGAGGGTTCTGAATCGATTGCCACCAACGTTAATACGATTATTAAATCAGATCAGGGTATATTGAGATGGCGAGCGAGATGATTTTATTTCAGTTCCGTCGTCGTCAACGATATTTTCCTTTAAATACTTACGTCATTCAAATATAAAAATCACTAAATTTATGCCAATTCACAGATATATAATTATAATCTTCAATGAAAATCGCAGGTTTTATTTTTCTAATTCGCGAGAAACGGTTCTATATAGAAATTCATGCATCAGTATGCAGGGGGTATTTTGCCTCCTTAAACGTGTTTTCCCGCAACAGAGCAAAAAAACATCAACTGTAATTTTACTTCCCTTTTCAAATGGTACGCGTTTCATTGAATTCCATTGGTAAGTTTTTTAAATAGGGTGAAAAAAAGAATAATCGAGGGGTGGTTTACCCACATAAGAGACAATTTCTTTTTAATATTTAGGTGCACTTTTCATTACTCGTGATGAGAAACATTTTAGTTTTTGTTTCATTGAAATCGGTCGACCCCTTCTAGGTGAAACTGCATTATCACCCCTCGACATGCCGAACTTTGGGGGTTGATTTCGCCCCCTAAAACCGTTTTTCCACCGATAAAAAAAATAAGTGTCTCTTAGTTTTTCAAGCGCTACAACATAGTTGAATTTCATCAAAATTGGAGAGAGACACTAAAGTGATGTTCCTTGTAAGTCATTCTTTTAGTCATAGAAATTATCCCCTTCTAGGTGAAACTGCATTATCAAATAGGGTGAAAAAAAGAATAATCGAGGGGTGGTTTACCCACATAAGAGACAATTTCTTTTTAATATTTAGGTGCACTTTTCATTACTCGTGATGAGAAACATTTTAGTTTTTGTTTCATTGAAATCGGTCGACCCCTTCTAGGTGAAACTGCATTATCACCCCTCGACATGCCGAACTTTGGGGGTTGATTTCGCCCCCTAAAACCGTTTTTCCACCGATAAAAAAAATAAGTGTCTCTTAGTTTTTCAAGCGCTACAACATAGTTGAATTTCATCAAAATTGGAGAGAGACACTAAAGTGATGTTCCTTGTAAGTCATTCTTTTAGTCATAGAAATTATTTTTTATTTTTATCTCGGTTATTTATTAAAATATATTAAATGCAGATAAATGCCATACCGTACACTGGAAAAATTTAAGGGAGACAGGGGAAATCGATATCTACGCACATTTTTCGAAAAGTAATAGAACCGATTCATGGCACTAACAGGAACGTTATGTGTGACAACTGGTTCACATCTATTCCGTTGATCGAAAAAATTATTAAATTACTGTCACAATTCGAAGCAACAAGCAAAAATCCCACTCGAAATGAAAATAGCTGGAGATGAGGGAACGGAGAAATATTACTAACATGAAGATATCGCTCTTTTATCACGGACACCGAAAAACAATAAGGTGATACTCGTGACTTCGTCCTACATCCGTTCAAATAAAAATGGCGATTCTGGTAAACCAGTAATGATTGAATACTACAATTCCACTAAAGGTGGGACTGATACTTTTGATCAGCTTTGTCACAGGTACATCGGTGGCCGATGCGATTCTTTTTTGGCATTCTCGACCAGTCAGTCGCTAATACCCGAATTTAGCACACATGTGCAAAATTTAACGCTTACGAAATTAATGAAAAGCTTTCTAGCCGCAAATGCCAAAATATAATCGCCTATTATCTTTTACGATCTTTCCTGTAACACCGGTTGCAAGAGACCGCCAATTTGAGGACGGGTATTGTGACAAACATAAAAATGATTTTACGGAAAGATGCTCAGTAATGTATGGATAAAAGGCCACAATTTGATAAGCGGGTTAGATGCGCTCTTTGCGATTAACATAAAGACCATAAAACGAAGAACAAGTGTCCGTCATGCCGAAGGGCAATGTGCGATGATCAACGAATTTACTTGTGCAACAATTGCAGTGGACAATAATAAAAATATATATTTAGAGTTTAACCTTAAGAAAACTGCAGAAAATATAGGTTTTGAATAGTTAATCTGGTGAAGGAGTCAATTTTTTTCTTATTTTTTCTTTTCTGGAAAATGCCCAAATTCAAAACGCCAAATAAATATACTTTATGAAAAAATGGTCGAAAATGTAATTTTTTTTTTCGTATTTACAAACCCTTCTCTCTGAAAGCCCAAAGGAATTTTTTTAATAACGTGAAAAAAAAGATTGATTTTTTTTATGAATAGATGTATTTTTCGACGCTTCTCCCACTCTGAGCCAGTAAGGATCATTAACTACAAAAGCTATCGATATACAAAAAATAAAATAATCCATGTTTAGCGAGATACAATCGTTTGAAAAATGTCTGGAGTCAAAGTGACCCTATATGCAATCGACAGGTCGTGGCGGAAGTGTGCAAACGAAGGGTTAAGTAGCATTCAATAGGACTACAATTAGCTTAAATTTGAGCCCGAACGAACAATATTGTTTTTTTGAGGTGCGTACACATCAGAAATTATGCCTCATATTTGATTATTACAAATTATGCACGTCAATTTGGAAAAAAATAGTGAAATATTAGACAAAAAGACTGCGTCAACTGCACATCCGCTATAACGCAAGGTTTCATAAATGTTTATTTTATCTTGGTTTTATTTTATTAAAGCCGTGTTCACTATTTCAAATAACATAGCTGGATGACATTTTGACTTGGAATATTACATGAAATTATCAGTATACTTTACAAGTAAATTTCTTTATAATACCTAATTGTTTCTTCGCTTTATATAATTATGGATTAATTACATAGTCCTTTCAACTGAAATGCACTTTGCATTGAATACCATATTTCGGTTAAAAATTCAGATATACGTTTATGCACTTCTAAAGAAAATGAAATTATATATTACATGGCCTTCAACACTTCCGGCAACGCAATATAGTTTTTTGATGACCGACGTCATAATAAATTTACATTTAAAATCTGTAAAGACGTATAACTACAAAGAATTCACGCTCACTTGACATCAATACAAATTTCGTGTGCCTAGAATTTCTCTAATATAACGTTGCTGCGAATTCTTCTAATAAAAAATATTGAAATTACATTATAATGCTAAGTACATAAGTCACTACAAATTTGCTTACTATATGATCTAGGAATAGTTCATTATTTTAATTGTATATTCAAAATTTTCTATAACATCTTCATTACCCTTTTGTGTTATTACTGTTGCTTATATCTAATTATGATTTAGTAGTCAATTAATAATTAATAACGCCTTAGGTGATTTCATATTAAGTACTATTATAATGTGATTTCAATCTTTTTTGTTACGGGTTATGCACAGCAATCCTGTACTTCGCAAGTTTTTCTACATGAAACTGTTTTTGTTGGGCCAGTGTAACTATAGTGACTTGCAAATTTAGGATATTAAAAAAAAATTGTACAATTAAAAAGAGATACAGATAGTAATTCTAAGACAAAATGGGACTAAAAAGCAATTTCAAACACATCCCCTTAGTAAATACACACCTATGTACAGCATAACTGTTAAAATTTTCTGTATGGAAAGAGCTGTATACCAAACTTTTATGAAATAAAATATATTATTATTATTATTATTATTATATAATAATTATATTAATTATACTGACTATTGTTGAAAATAATTTAAATCAATTGTAATTTATATAATATAATAATATAAATCTCAACTGTATCATTTGTAAAAATAATTACAATCTTTCAAAACCTGTAGTTGATACAACTCTTTACAAACCTTATTTATACATTGTCCTATATTCACAATTTCCCTTTTAACCCTTTCAACCCAGAAATGTGTAAAGAAAATCTTTATCTGTGGCCCGTCCACTTTTTACAATATAGTTCGTGGGTGCCTGAATAAGCTTGAAGTTTCAGTGCATGAAATTTTTGTAAATGGGTATATTAATTATATTTGCAGTGTGGCTGATAAAGGTGTATGTCAAAGGTACAGGCTTGGCAAAGTAAAAGTACAAGTTCACAGGTGATGAGGAACTATTTTCTCATAATGTAGATATGGGTATATCAACGATGAAGAACTATTTCTCAGACCACATATATGAGTTCATAGGGCTGACAGGATTAAGACAACTTTTAATTGAAATCGACGTAACAACCATTCAATGGTTAGTATTCAATAAAATTATGGCAACTCATTGTTAGAGTATTATTTCTTAAAAATGGTTTAAAAAGTAGGGTGCAAGTACAAAACATAAAACCTTTACAGAAAATGTTCAAATTGACCTATATCTATCTTTTCATAAAAATAGTTTATAATAAGCTTAAGAATAAATTCTAATAAGTAACTATGCTAATGATCATTGCAATCCTAAAAAATGTATAAAAATTAAGAATGATATTCACAACATTAAATGTTAACCATTTGAATCCCAGGAGTCATTGAATTAAAACATTGTCAAAAAATGCCAAACAGCGCAATAGCACTTGTTTTAATCCATAATATTCAAATATACTGGGATTTTTTAACATGAAATCTAAACAGCATGATCGCCCTGCTTGAAACTCAAACAGTTAATACTGAAAGGTAGCTTATGCTTTTGATTTCAATAAAGATCTAGCTAATATGAAAAAAAAAAAAAACATGGAATTATATTTCATTCTAACGTTAACCCTTGCATTCAGAAAAAAAGTAATTATTTTACTACATTCATGCTGTGGTGCTCTTAAAGGCTGACTTAAGTTGATAAAAAAATAACTTGTTTCTGAATATAGGTTAAATGTAATCATAACATCATAAATGACTTAAGATTCAAGTTGCACTCTGATACTGGTGGATGTCATATTATTGAAAAAATATAAGTACAATAATGAGTTGTTCAAATTATATTTTGTATATCTTAACACACAAACTAAACGTAAAATAGCAAATTTTTCCTAAATATGTACATACCACACTCATACAGATGACATCAATCCACTGTTAATAATCATTGAAACGAGTATTTTAGATGTAAATAATGATTGTACCATCAATCTATCAAAATTATACTACAAAATTTGTTAACACACATGTTTGAAAACCCGAAAACAATTGATCTATAAAATTTACATCAATTTCATTTATTTTCACTTTTCAGGAACCTTCCCAGAACCTTGTTTTTCCAGTTTTATAAGAGTTGTATACGAAATTCAAGCTTCCACCAATAACAGTCCAAACAGAGATGAGTACGGAGATTACCAATGCAGAGATGACTAGGGAGATGCACAACGCTACGGTTTTAGGGCTCGTTCAGACAGAAAGCAGCGGAAAGCGAGAAGCGAGCAGCGGAATCTTCGCTGTGAAAATACATTTTCTGCCTTTTTATGTTAGGTAGTCGTAAGGAAATACGAAGAAATAAGTTATTTTACCTTCATTATGTGTATGGAGTTAAGTATACTACATTAAAAATAGTAATACATAATTTTTCTTAAAACTACTTCATTACGTGGGTGAGTGGAATTTTCAAGTATTCAGCGGAATTAGGCGCTCGGAGCGTTACAGTATAGCCCGTCGTATAGCCTCGTTGTATGTTACATGCAAGAAGCTTTCACTCTCCATTGTTACACTTTAACATCACGACCAATCACAATATGCCTGTGCGTATGTACGTTGGAAAGAGGTACCACTCTATTGTACAGTCCAGAGATGAGTGGGGAGATGCACAACGCTCCGGTTTTAGGCGATACTAAAAGCATGGCGCTAAATCGTAGCGGCGAGTCCGGGAGTAAGATTTCGTGATCATCGCCTCTGTCGATATTACAGATTTCGCGTAGCCGCGCGGGTCATGATCATCGTTCGATCCGATATTGCAGTCAGCGAAATTAAATGGATTGCTCGGTGGTGGGGAAAAAGTTGCCGCTCCTCACAAACCGTTCTTGATAAACAGGCGGGGCAGCAAGGTCTTCCATCCAACCGAACCCTAAACATTGGTATGGACGTAATGCGCTAATAAATGTGTATATTCAAATAAATTTCAAAGTTATAAAAAATGCATAGAAATATTGGTTTTCACTCTTTACCTCTTATCATGCCAAAAATGAACATTAAAAAATGAATGGCGAAATTCGTTGGTAAATGAAACGACCGAGAACAGTTCAAAGAGAAATTTTGAAATATCATAGATAAATATCTATAATAAATTTAATTTAGTATTAAACGAGCATCGTAGCTGAGTCAATAACCTGTTCCTCTCTGTTAACTCTTCAAGGTTGCCCAAAGTTTATTTTATTCTCTTTTGTTCGTCCACGTGGAGAAGGGTGGCGCGAAAGTTCTTAACTGGTGTGCATCTTCATATTATTCTGCTTATGTGTAAAGTACGTGAAACGACAATAGTAAGCAGTTGAATAAATGATCAAATTCTAGAAATACAACTTCCGAAACAAGTAAAACAAACAGATGTTTCTGGCGCCTGGCTAGTGTACCCGGTTACGAATCGGGAAGTCTATGGTTCGCGACCCCTCTATGCTATTCTACTTATATGTAAAGTAAGCTAAACGATAATAGTAAGCAGTTGAATAAACGATGAAAATCTAGAAATACAACTTCCGAAACAAGTAAAACATACACGTGTTTTTGTCGTCTGGCTAGTGCACCCGGTTACGAATCGGGAGGTCTATGGTTCGAGACCCCTGTATGGAGAGCACTTACTTTTTACAAAAAAAAATGTGCTTTTGCAAATGGGATTAACAGATTAAAGAGTATATCCAATTAATTTATTTTTCTTATTACGATAAAGGCATAACAACGACAACCTGCGGGCCTCCACATCACCCAAGAGGTGCCGCAGTCGATACGTTCCCATTATTTAACGTAGCGGGTCCCCAATAGGCCTATACTACGAACGGTCTATACTATTTTTCAAGGTTCCTCTCTTTCAAACTTTCTCGGTTGCCCAAACTGTATTTTAAGCTTATATAAATTATTTAAACAAAAAAGGTTGTTATTGGGATCGAACCCGTCTGAGTCTGAACAGAGTCTGAACTCTGAATAGGCACACAAAACGCCGAAACGATCGAGAAAGGCTGCCAAAGATCTTGGAGCCTTTCTCGATCATTTTGGCGTTTTTTTCTTACAATTTTTATTTTTTAACATTGTCAGGGGCCAAATATAAAGTTTCTTCATTGAAGATGATTACGACAATTATTTTATATTATATTTCACACACACATGACGCGTGTAAATATCTAAAAGTAACAGAAATTGAGAAAAGGACAATTGGGAAGAATAGTATATCGGTCTATTGAGATCACGTACTGGCGACTTCAACACAACAGTCTAGGAATCTAACGGATCGAATCTGAGCGGGCGTCTGCAACAATGTTGCTAACTATCGCGCGACTAGCAATACACATTGGGGCCTGCAGCGTCAGGTCGTTCACAGTCGTACAGGCAGCAGCATCATGGTAAGTAGTTCTTCAATAGTTATAAGGAAACAAGACGCAACACGTCTCATGTTTATTTTATTACTATGAAGGATATTGCGAGAGAGAATATTGTGAGTTAATAGAAAATGATTTTCGATCCCGAACAGCGTCAGGTCGTTCACATTACGGTCGGCGCCATTACGGTGTCCCATAGGTCCTCGACCTCGAGGTAAGCTCGCATCGCTACTGTCCATGAACGATTATTTTCGCGTCCGGCCAATTTCTCTACCGGTTGGAACGGACTATTAAAATTCCTGCTCTCCATACTGTAACTCTGTATCTGAGATTATAAAGTGAAAAATGCCGATTCACTGTTGCCACGCGCACTCACACTTCCGGCGATGAGAACACCTGCTCAGTGGATATCGAGAAAATATCTGGGCCCATAACCTGAACGAACTGATGTGGATTGAAACGAAGGTGAAGGTCGGTGACAAACGACACTTGATACTAAATCGAAGAGACGGTTTACACTTCATTCCATAGTCTTTACGCGAGTTAGGCGGGAATTACTTCTTGATTGCGCAACGCCGGGACAAAGAGTAAACGGGAGAAATTTTAACTGAAACGCCTATTACATAGTCTAATACTACGTGGATCAAAGATCCTGACGATATATACAGGCGCGAACAATTGAATAATTAAGTTAACAATTGCCTAAACAGAATCTTATATCACCTAGCATAATTGCAAATGTCTCCTCATGCCTCAAAACGATCCTAATCGCGACTCCATATTAGGCAGACAGGTTCGCGATTAGTAGATTCATACTTAAACCGCTACTCAGAGTCAGTAGTTGGCGAAAACCTCCAAATAAACCGAAGAGAGGGTCCCAGCAGGACACCCCTTCCTTCGGCCCAAAGAAATCTCTTACCTACTTTAGAGAGGCTAGGAAACGACAACGTCAACCTAAATAGACAGTAGGCACACGATTCAACAAATTACTCTCTACTTGATAATATGGCTCAGCTAGAGCAGGAACAAGCGGTACCCACAAGGGAATCTCCTAGACCGCCTCTTGAATCATTCGTAGTAAACGATTCCGCAATAGATCAAGAAATATCAAGATTGCGAGAACAGGTCGCAGATTTACAAGCCCGTTTCCCTGTACCAGTAAGGCATAATAGAAGAAGAACTTCAACTACCTATATGTCGTTAAAGGATTTAACTCAAGGTATTTAACGGGGAAAAACCCGAAGCATTGCCAGAATTTTTGGACGTATGTACTGTGACTATGGGCAGGATACCGTTTTGTTGTTACGAGACGAATTTACGTCTCGTATCCCGAGGCACTCGTACGGATAATCGACACTCCAGGGTCACTAATGAGTCCGAAAAATAGATTAATTAATTATATTTTGTTTGTATCTTTGGTAAACTCGACACGGCGGACAAGCGAATTCCACGACTTTCCCGGATTATGGGAGCTCCAGCAGACAAGCGGAAGGAAGGTGGAAATATCGAGGACGGTACCAGATGGAGGGGTCCCATGGTCGGCATAAGGGCGAGTGTCACGGGAGAAGAATAACGAAGCTTCGGGTGTACCGGCAGGAAAGCCGGTATTAAGAACCCAGAACTCGAAGAAAGCTGCCGAGGAGGGCCGAAGGAGAGACGACAAATATGGATCAGTATTATCGTGCCGAAGACATACCGACTGACCATAAGCGTCGCCAAGGACGGCGGCACCATCCACCTACGTCCCGTCAACGACGGAAAACCAAAGCCCAGGGCCGAAACGCGGCACGGAGGGCCCGAGAAGAGTTCCCGATCAGCCGGACCTACGAAGGCGAAATCCGTCCGACGTTCCGACTCCCGGAAGACGCTCCGGGTAGTCATGGAATTACCTGGAAGCCAGATCGATACCGGTGTGAACCATCGCGAGGCCAATGTGCAGAAAGTCTGCCACCCTAGTGTACCGTAATGGTCATTATACCGAGCGACTTCCCGTGTCTCGCCGATGTTACCGTTCTCCCGATAAGAAGGGAGATAAGAATATAGATAAGAGATAAGAGATAAGAATTAATGTACCGAATGTTCACACCACCCTGGATTTGGGAAAGACGGGACGAGCGCCACTTCAAAACCCGTAAGCAACCGGCGAGAGAATTTCCCGCCACTCAAACTTCGGGCGATACCATGGGCCCCGAAATCAGTACGGCCACACTCGAAGACCCAGACGTCGACCAATCAACGGCAGGCGCAAAAACTATCGGAACGCCACCACCGCCAATTAAGAAGGAAACTATTCATTCGTCCGCTTACCGTCCGTGCGAGTGCCGGCTTTTCTAGTTTTGTCGCGACTCTAGCGTTAGTAAACTAATTGGATAATTGTTTGAATACCTGCTCCCGGATCATTGTGAAGTGAGCCCTTACGTTACCATTTAACATCTGAGGTATTAACGAGCCAGCATAATATAGTAGAGTCAGTAGAGTTGGGCCCGGAATCGGCAACGATTCTGGTGACCTACATTAAACGTTCCCGTCCGGTGTGCTTTCCCGTTTGACGAGTATTCTATGCTGGGATATCGTTCTATAATTTGTATCTGACGCTTTTGAGTAATATTGTAAGGAATTATCTATTTCGTTTGTATTTGAGTGACCACGTGCCCTGGAGTGTCCTCTGCGGATGAATCCGTTGTCTACCGCTTCCCGGTGGACTTCGTATTGTATATTTATTTTAGGTTGGTTTTCTTCACGAATAGTATTTCGCATTCTGACCGTTTTGCGTATTTTGTATTTTGTTTAGGCCCGTTGGCCACACGAATGTTCTCAATCTTGTCATTTATTTCCCGCTCAATAGAGCGACGTGTTAATATATTTTCTACTTCTTTTGTTATTGTTACTGAATATCGAGCCTCTTTATTTTTCGTGTCCAAGTCCTTCCCATGTGTGTGTCTTCAACGGACCAGCCCCTCTACCATTCCCGTGGGCTGAGTAGCCAGGGTATCGCGAAGGATTTACCGGCGGTGTGGCGACATCGTGCAGATGTCTGGCGTTATTATTCTTAATATTCTATTTTAACGATTTGCTTACCGGACACCGTACGTGATCCTTCGGTCAATTGTGAACCGCGTTGCCATTATTTCTCGATCTTATCGACAACAATTTACGGTCACAGTACGTATGTACTTGAGCAGAGCAACCCTGCAGATCATGATAACATAGTCTTAGTAATATTAAAGACTAAATTAGAAGGCAAAGCAAATCAA